TGCATCACAACTCACAGCAACCTCCAACTCCTGGGCTCAAGCAATTCTCCTGCCTCCACCTCCCAAGTAGCTGAGACTACAGGCACCCACCACAACACCTGGCTATTTTTTGGTTGCAGCCATCATTGTTGTTTGGTGGGCCTGGGCTGGATTCAAACTCACCAGCACAGGCGTATGTGGCTGGCTCCTTAGCCGTTTGAGCCACAGGCACTGAGCCAGATTGCTTGAGTCTTAAGGGTCAGGTTGCTGATGGCTATGAAGCCACCACACTCTACCCAGGGTGATAGTGAGACTCTGTCTCAAAAAAATAAATGAACTAAAATAAATCATTGTCTATATTTAAAAGTAGTATGAAAAACCAGAGACTACCCCAAATCTTCCCTTTTGCCTTCAGAAACATCATGACACATTCTCTCATTAAAGCACCTATAGGTTAGTGCTTTATCATCTATTTACAAATGTACTGTATTTCAGGATGCATGATCATATTTGGTGGTTATTAAAAGACTTGCCCAGTGATATTTCCTAAATAACTTCTTTTTTTTTTTTTTGAGACAGAGTCTCAAGCTGTCACCCTGGGTAGAGTACCTTGGCATCACAGCTCACAGCAACCTCAAAGTCTTAGGCTTGAGCAATTCTCTTGCCTCAGCCTTCCAAGTAGGTGGAACTATAGGCACCTACTGCAATGCCTGGCTATTTTTGTTGCCATTGTCATTGTTGCTTAGCTGGCCCAGGCCAGTTCGAACCTGCCAGCCTTGGTGCTTGTGGCTAGTGCTATAACCACTGTCCTGCAGGCACCGAGCCACACAGCAGTGCTTTTTCTTAGGCAGTATGAGTTAATGTATTAACAGGGTTTAGGAATTTATGTTTGCAAAAACTGGAGTAATCAAATCTTTCTTTCTTTTTTGAGACAGTCTCACTATGTCACCCTCCGTAGAGTACTATGGCATCATAGCTCACAGCAACCTCAAACTCTTGGCCTCAGGCGATTCTCTTGCTTTAGTCTCCAGAGTAGCTACAGGCGCCCCAGTTATCGTTGTTTAGCAGGCCTGTGCCTGGCTTGAGCCCACCAGCCTGGGTGTATGTG